CACCAGCCTCATCTATAGCTCCTGTGGCATGATCCTTCACAGTGAAGTGCCAAACACCCTAATTCTGGGTCTGGGAGGATCAGAACAGTGTAAGTACTTCACACTAGCCACCCCTTAAAAGCCACTTCTGACCTAAGTACCAGTGCCTTTATGAAGTCCTTCTACACAGGGAGAGATGTCCTGAGCCAGGGAACATCCATCTATCTACCTTATCCTGATCCCTGCACACTAGGGGTCTGGAATTCTCTCATAGTACCAGTGAGAATTACTTATTCCCTAAGTAATTCCAGGCCTCTCTGAATGGATGAACACTGGTAGACTCCACTTTCCTTTTAACTCTCATTTCAAAACAGCAGACTATTCCAGAACACACCTCTGCCCCATTATCCTATCCATCAGGTAATAAACTTGTAGTGGTTTCCTATTTCTAGGCTCCCACTACCCAGTCTATCTTTCAATGCTCCTGCCTTTTTTCCCCACCATTGCCCACCATGCACCTGGCCAGGCCAATGAGAAAACTCTGATTCCATAGCCTATGCTCTTTTCACCAATATATTTGCTTTCCCACACCAACTTTTAGCTTCGTACCACATACTCTCCTTGAGAATATCTTTACTTACTTTGAGTCACTGTGAGCACAGGAAATGCAAACCACTTTTGCTATCAGACTAAGCAAAATATTGACAGCAATGTAAATTTGCCACAAAAGGAGCTGTTTATATCTGACTTTGCTAGAATTCAAGGTCCTTAAGGGACATCTGGCATAGACTTTGGCCAGAGTATATTCTCAAACATTTACTGAATTAGTTCTTTGACCCAAATGGAATATTTAGATTAGACCTGATATTTTCTGTCCACTTAATTAACCTAAGGACTTACTTCAGCTTCAATAGGAGACCTATAAAAACAGAAAAGATGCTGCATAAGGAAATCAACCTTCTAATTCCAGAGTATAATCTCACACAACTGCTCTGCTAAGATCATGCACTGTAAACAGATACTATGACAACAAGCTACAGAGCAGGGGTGGACCTCTCCCCAAGGACAAGTGCACCAAAGACCATCCCATTCACAAAAGCTCTGATGAGGACCCTGAAAAGCAGTTCCAAAGTTGGGCACCTAGCAAAACATCAAGTAACTCTCTGACTTTTACAAACACTAAGAAAAATATTAAACACCAAATCATATTTTCCGAAACCTCCTTTGGCAGTATTAAACGCAGATGGTACTAATAGGTACATAATGGACGCATGTGAAGTTGGACTTTGGCTGTCTATAGCTACTGGTTTGGGCGAACGTGATCTGAAATCTATGTTCTGGTAAAAGTAAGCCACGTTACAATAGCTTCTAGTGAGTGGAACACATTTTCATGCCTCCATCTTTTATATGTCTATACAAATGACAGTTCTCTGTCTTCCTTAGAAACAGCTCATTTTTTTGTCTTATTGGCATAGCCTGATGTTTTAGGTCAACGTTTTAAGCTTGTATTTTAGTTTTGCCATTCTTTACAGTCTATCCCCTGGGGCCAGGTAATCTTTTTATTTTTTCCCCCTTAAGTACTCAGAAAACATGCTATTGTAGTTACAGGTTCAAACACCCATTTTAAAACAGTCCTTTTTAGCCTTACACATGCATTCTCAAAAGCCTGGAATATGTGAACAAAGATGCCATGAGGGCCAGTTAATAAATCTCCTTTTCAACTAGCATCTGCACGAAACAGAGCTATGGGGAGGATCCTCTCCAGGGAGACTCAGAGCACGACTCATTCGCTCTGTGAATTCAACAGTGTCGCCTCAGATGGCCCTCACCACATTTATTTTTTAAGCAACTCTTAAAATATAAGGCTTTCTAATGCTCCTCAGTACAATGAGGAAGCCGGGGCAGAGAAGGTGATAACACGACAGTGGACATGAGCGGGAAAACATGCACATGACTGGATTGAGCCATTTTGGCACTTGGCTCTTTCCCATTGAAATTACTAATTCAGGAGTCATTCTATAAAGGAAACTTGCTTTTCTCATCAAATGGACACTAGCTCCCTTAATGATTTGCCTCCTATTCTACTCTAAGCTGTGAAAATGGGTTCTGTTTACACTGACACCTGAGTTCCAAGATCTGGGTCAGGGACCATATCCGACTTTCACCTGTGAACAATCTGGTACATATGCTATAAAAATAGAAGAGTGACCACTAGTCCAATATCAGGGCTCAGGGGCACTGCCCTGTTCTCCTTTCCTTTCATCTGTGCTGCCAGCAAGGTAAGGTGTGTTCCTGTCCAAGAGTACCTGGAAGAATCCCTTTCTCAGTAATAACAGCATTCTTTTCCTATTTACATAGCTCTTTTAAGAGATTCTTTGTTTCTAATATTTGAAGTCAACCTCACAACATCTCAAAGAATGGGATTGCATATCCTTATATGTAAGAAGCAAAGGTAGATAAAAAAGCCTAAGATAAAGGGCCTGTTGGAAGCCTACCTAGGAGTTAGTAAAGCAGCCAAGAAACGAATTGTTTCTGGTCTCGCTAGGGCCCTGGGCTCCCCGAGGTTCCCCAAGCAACACCAAAGAGAATTTCCAAGCACATTTCATTGGTGAGTGCTATCCCAAGACTATAGCTAAAGTAAAACTTTCATTTGGTTAAATTTCTACTATGGTTTTCAATTTGCCTTCCAAGTTTCCTCGGCAAATAAATGGCTATATTATTCCAGTCTTGGGATGCCAAAATAATGATGGAATGCTTCCTTCATTAAAAAAAAAAAAAAAAAAAAGTGTCACATTTTTCCTTCCCTATGACTCTCCAAAAAAATAAGTGGTAGTTATATTACATTGGTCATCCACTTTGAAAGAGAAGCAGACCAAGGAAAATACCCAGTGTATTTGTCTCCAAGCGCACCCTTTAAATAACAATACAAATGCAATTTTTGAGGCTTCCATCTTCATTTAACCTATAGCATCTCTTGCTATAGCATCCAGTAACCCTATTATAAAAAAGACAAATGCAATGATGCTCTGATTTAAGAATTTGTTCAATCAGTCATAATCAAAATTTAGTTTTGTTTTTTATATAATCTCAGGTACTGTTATTGGGACACATCAAGCAAAATGGAAATAATTCAAGAAATGGAAATCATTAACAGATTGAATTAAAGAAGTAAATGCAATTGTATTATTAAGCAATAATTTATCACAAGAAGGTTACATTTAACCTTTCTGTCAAGTGATTTTCCATTGCCACTTCAAGTTAGTTCATATGAGTAATAAAACCCAACTAGGCAACTTCCTTTGGCCCACGTGGTAAAATTGGAACTCCATCTTAAAAAGCAACTGCTACCAACATAGCAGGAATTAAGTCATTTAAAAAGTGAGGGCTTCATCAAATTTATTACTTATAAGGCAACTTCAAATGAATGTGTTTTAAAAGCACATTCAAGTTTTTGTTTTTAAATTCAATTTTTAGGCTTTGGGATATTCACAGAGGAGAAAGGTAAGAAGGTGCCCAACATTCCAACTACTGGGTCTGTAAAAGGAGAGTCCTGGAAGTTTTGGACCAATTTTGGTTTACAATAAAAGAATAACAAGCATTTGAAATCTGTAAGGATACCATGTCAACACGTTCATTGGAACCATAAGGCATGGGATTTGGGTGACCTCATGGGCACAGCCAAAATTAACTCCAAGTATTTATGTAACTGCCAGAGATGACAGGGCAAAGGTTGCTTATAATTTTTTCTTTGAGTCAACAAACAGTATGTGTCTTTGGTAAAATAGAAAGGGAGTTGGGGTGCTTTTGACCCTATTTTATGATACACAATGTTTAAATACACAGAATATTCCATTTGTAAAACCATCTGAATGTTTAGATGAAGTCTTTAAAAAAAAGAGTTATTTCCTGTTGCTCACTAGCTGAGAGGATGCGCTTTAGAGGTATGTGTGCTCTGCTTCAAAGCAAAAGCATTGTTTGCGGTTATCAAGGTAACATTTAAAAATAACTAACCCAGTACAAAAGAACTTCTGAGGAAATATGACTGAAGCTATCAGTCTCTCTTTAAGTCTGGCCTTGAGCTGCCTAAGACCCTAGCTGCATTCTCCATTACATTGTTATCCTTATCAAACAATGCAAACAATTTTAATGAGCTTATCTATGGGAACATATTGCCAGATATGTTAATGTAAAAACGATGCCAACCATACAGGCAAGCTCATTAATCAAAAGGCTCACAATACAATGACCAAGATCATTCCCATCCTCAAATCAGACCTCAGCAAAATACCAGGAATTACCTTTCTACTGTCAATAAGAAGGAAGGGCTCCCCCACCCATGCGGAGGCCATAAACTCCTAGGAAAATACATAACAGTGCCCAAATGTTTTTTCAGATTCATTGCAGTCTAGTCTCTTTCTAATAAACCTAGGGTTCCATGGAGAAAATTTTGGTGAATGTCTGACACTGTGACCTCTGCTGTCAATCCTTGCACCAATCAGCGAGCAGAATTCTTACAAAGCTCCATCAATCTGGAGGTTTAACATCACAGACTGCAGCTTAATCTAGAGGATTCCATCTTTCCCGCACACTCTCCAGGTTAAGCACAAACGTTTTTCTCTCGACACCCACCCATTTGTTTTCTGCCTTTAGGCACCGCTACCTAATGGCTCCTTTAAAATCTAAAAGGGAAAGAGGAAAGGAAGTGCTACAGCCCGTCTCCCTTTGGAGAGGAGGGGGAAATAGCATGCATTTTTATCAATGTGGAAGGGAAGAGATGGAGGGAGACCCCTTGCAGGCAGCCAACCTATTCACAAAATGCTTCCCATCTGCAATCGAGAAGCCTCGATGCATACCCAACATGACACACGAAAACAGATACCAAATGATTGCAACCGCCTTCACAAACGCACGTCTGCAGCCTGGGTGGCGGGCAGTATCTGTTCCATTATATAACGGCCGGATTTCCTTGCTCCCCAGCCAGGGTCCCCAGCCCGGCGCTGCCCTGGTGCCAGCCCCATTACCTGTAGGAACGCTCCCCGCGCACAGTGTGCTTCCGGAAAGGAATGATGGTCCCGTTATCCTGGATGATGTCGTTGTTGTTCTCGCCATTTGGGGACAGGGTTTGGGTCGGCCCAGGCATTGGCGCACTCCCAAGAAAGGGAACAAACCGCTGTGGGCTGGCTGGTGAGGAAGGTGGTTGCGTCTTCCCGCTCGCTCGCCTGCTCAGCACACGGACCGTGCCTGCCGCCTGCTCGCCCGCTTCTCCCCGCTCAGCTCCCGCCCCGCCCCGCCCTCCTGTGTCCCGCCCTCCCGGCCGCTGACGTCAGAGCGCCGGCACAGCACCCGGGTCACGTGACTGGCCGGTCGCCATAGCAACCCGCTAACTCATCACCTCGCCTCAATTCACACAGGGCCGCGGCGTGACCACGCCAGCCGCTCCAGGCAGGCACCGGGCAGGCCTACATCTGGCATGTAAAACCCCAGGCCACCCCGCAGCCCCCCTTGCAGACTCGCCTTGTCTGAAAACCAGCTCTTCCTCTAACCATTTCCTTTCCGACCCGTGCTCCGACTGCAGCTGTGTACACAAAAGAAGGATTCATGCAAAGGGGTGTGGGAGACCCTTTAACTCCTTCAATACCAAGTTCTTATGCCATCAGAACTAAACTTGGGCATGTTTCAGGAAAAAATCCAAAAAAGGCCTAGTGGCCACCTTCGAGAAAAGGTATCCGACTAGAGGGGTTAAAAAATGTCTAGGTTCCTCCCTTACTCTTCAAAGCAGCAACCTCCTCAAGCAAAAAATCTGAAAGCCTAATAAACTGTATTTCCTTCTAATCAATGTAGCCTTTAATGATGTGAGGATCAAAGACCATAAATTACGAGATTTTCTGTATAAAGAATCCCTAAAGAGGGTTTTTAAAAATAACCACTGTTTTATAAGATCACAGTTACCCAGAACCCTCAAATTCAAAAATCTTTAGACTGCCTTCTGATACAGATCATTGATTCTGTGCCATTTATTTTGTTTCCATGTGAATTAAATAAGCGACCACCTCATTTAGTATTTGGAAGCTCTTAACATTCAAGCTGCTCTCTGTCATTGAAATGTTGTTTTCCAATACATTGCCCATGAGTGAGATAGTATTAATATTAACCATTTTTTAAAATGAATAAACTAGTGGGATTTAAGTAAATTGCTGAAGGTCATATAGGAAGGGGTGAACTGGAACTTAAAAGTGACATGCTTTTTTTTTAATCTTATAGGACTAAATAGTAGTGATCTGTCTATAATGTTTACTCCAATATTATATATTGAGGTAAGAATCAAGAATCACACCCAATATGACCACTGTGAAAGACAATCCATGGATTGTAGATTTTGTATAGACCCCAAATATGTCCAGTACTTTCCTCCAGAGAAGAGAGTCTGAAGAATTATCTACTTATCAGAAGTGGTTTTTAACTTTCATGGGGTGGAAAGGGAAGAAGAATTTGGGTATGAAAGACACGGCAAGAATGCGTATGGCAGAAAGTCCTAGGATATGTATGGTTCATTCCTCCCCAATATTGTAGACTTTTATCAGCTTCATTATTTTGTGATACAGATATTAAAAACTCTGTCATTCCTGACAATTCTCCAGCATATGTCCCTGGTTATAAGTTATTTCTGGTATCAAGCTTCTGGAATTGGAATCAAATGTTTCACAAACCAGATGGTAATGATAATTTCAAACAAGGGGGGCCCCTTTTATTTCTATTTTATTCTCTCCTTTTAGGCTATTATTTTAATAATTTTATTCTGCTTCTCCAGTTAGTTCACAGTGCACAAGTTGATTCCTTCATGCACATCCCCATTTACATGAGAATTTTTTTCTTTCTCATACAATCAGGATCCAGTTCTGACCTAAGACTTAACAAAGTACCCAAATAAAAATCTAAATACAAGAGATACATACCAAGTCTCACATTGCACAATGAGCTAAAGGGGCTCAGAATGCACTCACTGCTGCAGAGAACCATGCTTCCTCTTACTATTTCTGTTACCACTGTTGTCAATTTCCTTATTAATTAGTTCTCTTTCACAAAAGCTTCCCCTTTTGGGGGGACAGTTTAAAGTTGAAGGGCACAGTCTACAAATCAAATATTCAACATGTTTGGGTATGCTTCTCGATTAGGAATCTTCGGCTAACTTTTCCATGATCACCTTTTTAAGTAATATGTTGGACATAACTAATGTTATCATAAGGACTAAATCTGTCAGAATTCATTATAGTTCATTAATTATACCCACTAATTTTGTGGAGTGAATACTCCCACTTTGTTTCTAGGCTGCTCATGAAAGTAGAGATGATGGCCAAGAATCTGGTTGATAGGCTGAAAGGGAGGGATATTAAGTCAGGTGAGGGAGGTATCTAAGAGCCCTTGTAAATCTTCCTCTATGCTTGCTCTGAGCCACACTACTATAAAGGGACCCAGAGAGCTCCAGAGACCAGTGATTACCCTCAGAGATGCAGGGGTAACAGGGGTAATAATTTGAAAATATTAAACAGATGTGTTTTCATTCCTCTCCCCATAAATCAGGTTACCTGGCAGCCATTCTCAAGTTCAGCCCAGGGGAAAAGAGGAGGGCAAATTCCAGTTTGGGAATGGGAAGGAGGATGGTGTAGATATATAGAAAGCATAGAAAAGGCGGGAAAGGGGAGGAGGGATCCCATCCTTTCCAGACTCAACTGAGTATACAGAAGGATGAGATAAAGATAGGGAAGAGTGGTGTTCTCCCATTTACGGGCCACCAGGCTTACTTTAGAAGGGAGACATTAAATAGGCTGAAGACGGGCTGGGGTTGTAACTCAGTGGGAGAGTGCTTTACTCTCATGTGTGAAGCACTGGGGTTCGATCCTCAGTACCACATTTAAATAAGTAAATGAAGGCACTGTGTTCATCTACAACTAAAAAATTAAAAATTAAAAAAAAACCAGGCTGGGCCAGGCGTGGTGGTGCATGCCTCTAATCCCAGTGGCTGGGGAGGTTGAGGCAGGAGGATCGAGAGTTTAAAGCCAGCCCCTGCAATGGCAAGGCACTAATAAGCAACTCAGTGAAACCCTGTCTCTAAAAATACAAAATAGGGCTGGGGATAAAAAACAGAAAAATATGCTGAATTCGAAGCCAAAACTAAGGGCTTTCTTTTACTTCATTTCCATATTTGAGAATCTAGGAAACAACCACCTTGAAAAAAATGGATCAGCAACTGTCTCCCTCACTAAGTGAGCTGCAGCCCATCATAGTAAGAACCCCCCCACACACACACACCTTTCCTAAGGAGGTAAAGCCCTCATAGTACAGATCTCCCTTCTCTAAAGAGGTGCAGTCTCATCACATTACAGGTTCATGGTGGTTTGGTATGGCGGAAAGAGTAGGTTTGAGTTTGACTCTGAAGTGGAGAAGCATGACCTGTGGCAGGTATCTAGAAGTTTCTGTCTGCCCAGCAGGGAATAAGTAGGAGGTTGAATGGATGGTGCTATCAGAGAGCTGAGTTTATGACAGTGGTGGTGGCAGTAGGGGCTTCATTACAACAGAGGCAAAGGGATATTTTAACCTAGGTCCATAGGGTGAAACTTTGCAGTCAGAGCTGAAAAAAGAGAAATAATAATCTCTGAGGAAGTTATACACTGCTAGGCCTGTGAAGGAAGACACTACAGCTTAAGGGTGTAGCACAGAGCCCCAACAGAATGCCCCTGAAGGGGGTCAGAAGAGCTCCTCTTCTGCACACTCACAATGCAAACCTAAGAACCAGCATGAGACTAGGAGGCCCCTAATCCCCCCCACCTTTTGTGTTGCTAAAAGCCCCAAGTCCCAATTCAGTCCTCCAGACACCATCTTGTAGAGGGGCTAGGAAAGGACAGACATCAAAGGTTCATCCAAAGATGGATAAAATTGGAAGAGGCTGTAACACTGAGAACTGGACAGTTTCAAATTGCTTCTGTTTCTCCAGCCACCAGCAGGGTGAAGAAGTTACAGAGATTATGGTGGGGACCAAGGGGTAGCTAAAATGTCATTGTATGTCTGTGTTTTCAACCTTTGTTTTATGCACACAGGTTTACTTAAAAATTGTTTGTAAGCCACTGTCTTACATCTCCAATTGCCCATGATTGTATCATGATTAAAGTAGGAACTCTGGACTTAAATAGACCCTGGTCCTGGGCTTGACCTCACCACTCCCTAACTGTGTGATTTGGGCAAGTTATGTTGCATCTCAAAAATTTAGTTTCTTCATCTATAAGGTAGGTGTATTAATACTGGTTTCATAGTTTTGCTGTGGGGTAAGTTACATAATGCATTTTAGGCTCTTAGCAGCAGCTGGCACACAGCAAATTCTCATTAGTGGTAGATGTTATTATTTTAAAATAATATGTTGGGCATACCCAAAAATGTTCATTCATTACTTAACACTTATAAATGGCTTTCTTATGTATTCAGAGCTAGTAAAACAAGAAAAAAAAATAATCTCAGGCTCTGACCACTTCCAGGGTTGTGGGTGAGTAAGGTAAAAATAACTGGCAATTCTAACGATTACAAATGCTATAATAATGATATCATATATGGTAGTACAGGACCATGGAAAATGAGTGCCAACATCCAAATGGAAATTGGGATTAGTCTGACATGTTCCCCCAGATAGATGATACCACTTTGGATGAGTAATAACAGTAAACTTTCTTGTTCACTTCTTATGCAATAGATAGAATATAAATTCCCTTAGGGAAGGGGCTTCAACGGTTTTGTTCACTGTTGTATCTTCAGTTACTGGAGCAGGGCCTGGCAGATAGCAGGCATTAAATAAATACATAATTCATTCATTTATTCAACCATGTCTGATTTGATTCTTTAAACAACCATAAGGATAAAATTAAAGCTTAAAGAAGAGAAGCAATTTGTCCAAGACTGGATATCAGAGATTCTTGCCCCCAAATTTCATGTTTATCCCCTAGGCTACAATGCCACTTTTAAAGAGGAATGATAGTGCAGAGGGAAGATAGACCAAATATGCCCAGATACAGAGGTAGGAAAGGGTGTGACTGGAACCAGTAGGCTGTTCAGCATGGACAGGAAGCAGAGTATGCAGTAAGTAACAATGTTGGGGAGAAAGGTCTTATGGCCAAGCTAAGGAACTTGACCTTAATTCTGAAGATGATCTAGAAACAAAAGTGTTGCAGGAAGAGAAATTAATGGTGAAATTTATGTATCAATCAGGTTTGATGCTGGTAGCAGTGTGGACAA